CGTGAAAACAAGCGAAAAGGCCAATATGCATGGCTTACCGCGACCTGACGCTCGCTCTGTGTACCTTGGGGGCTCAGGAAGTCACAACCAATGGCATGTCATGCTATCTACTACTGTAGCTAGCCCGTGTCTGACTATCCGCGGGCTACTAGCGGAAGACCACCGCATACAAATAGCCGGCCCAGCCCATCAATTTGGTAGTATCGCGCATGCGCAGTTCGCCGATGGTTTGCACTTTAGTGCTTTTCATTCTTACAGCTGCTTTGAAGGTGTTTATAAGAGCAAAGGGCGGCTTGGAGATTGCTGTAGAGATATCCTGGTCTACTCATATGAGTGTGAAGACCCAAAACTGGTATAATATGATACATTGTGTACATTGCATACTACATACATACCTGGATTAAGTCAATGACTGTGAAGAATGCAAAGGTGCTCGGTATACAGCTGAAAAGGTGTCTGGGCAGGGATGTGTCTGGGCTCATTGAAAAGGAGAGTTTTGAAGTGTGTACAATGGCAGTGTAAGTATATTATCAGTTACTGTAATTTAATCTGATGCAGAAATTGGTCGGTGATGAAGCTAGACATCTAATAAAAGTGGCTCTTGCCCTGACTTACTATGGATATAACGTTTCTACGGTTACAGATTTGTTATGTGGAGAGTTTCTGTTATCGCAACATAAGATAATGCTTTAGCCCCGCTTCACATTTAAAAACCCCTACATGAGTATGGACTAGGTATGTTAGCCATCTTTACAGTTCAGGAGACTGAAACCCTTGACTTGGGCACGGAAGGTAGGGATGTGGGCAGTGGCAAGGCATATGAACATTCCTCATCCCCAACAGTTAGAGCAATTTTGCTGGTGGTGTGGAGTATAGGGCACTCCTCCACATGTGTACCACAGTTGTAACAGCAGCTGGTGCAATGCCGTTGCCCCTAAGTGGAACTGACGTTGAGATAAAAGCCAAAGAGAGCTGTTGCTTTAGCACCTACGAGCCATCTGGCACAGAATTTACAGAACTTTATGCATATATTATACAAGTAACTATCATAATTTATTGAAGTCTAATTGGGAACTGTTACATCTATAAAGTACACATTAATGTCTATCCCAGAAGCTTGATGTAGTTGGAGTCACTGTTCAGGAGGTCAGTGAGGGTGTTGACCAGAGTGGCAAACTTTGGTCTCTCCTGAGGACTGGCTGACCAGCATGAGGTCAAAACTGACCATCTGTGCATTAAATAAACTGTTACTGAGTTATGTAAGTGGCACGGATAGTTGTCACTGAGATTAATATGTATAACAGCTCTGATTATACAACATTGATTTAGGATTTAGGGTATTGAACATGAGCATTGCCAGCCAGGTTTAGAACCTTTACACATCTTCACTTACAATAATCGTGCATTACTGATGTGTAGGTTGCTAGGCTCGCTTCCCTGTCCTATTGAATTATTGATTATTCCCGTCGTGTCTTAAATGATAAGCTGGGCGTATATCCTCTGGCTCTTACATATCATCAGAGCAGGAGATGTTGCTGGGTCGATCAAGTCTGTGTCCAGAGCGGAGCTCACGCAGTAGAGTGGTGACTGGGACCCCAGCATACGGCACTCCTCCACATGTGAACACCTCCCAACATGTCACTCCAAATGACCACTAGATCAACAAACATGACTAATTCAAGTTGATACATGGTATTCTTGACTCACCACATCAGTGCTCTCATCAAAAACGTGTGTTTCAATACTCTCGAGGGCCATCCACTTGATAGGGACCTTCTCCTCAGTTCCAGTCTGACTTTTCTCTTGGCGGTAGTAGTTGGTGCTGTACATGTCTTCTGTCAGTCCGAAATCAGCTACTTTAATAATGCCATTTTCGTCAATCCTAAACAAAAAGAGGATGACCCATGCTTATTCCCCAACATACCCTGTTGTTCTATATAACTCTTAATTATTACTAACATGCAATTCCTGGCAGCCAAGTCGCGATGAACAAACTTGTAGTTAGCAAGATATGCCATCCCATTCGATATCTGGTAGCATATTCCTAGGCAGGTCTTCGTGGCAGCTTCAACCTATACGGAGCATTTATAATGGCTGACACCAGCATTAATCGGTGATCGTTTCTTACTTGGATGTTGTCAGATGCTTCCAGGAAAAACAGGCTCTTTCTGTTGTCTCGGACATAGCTCAGAACAGTACCATTCAACATGAATGGCATAATAATCAGGGGCGTCTCTTCGTCAAATGAGAGTCCAATTAGTGGCATGACATTGGGGTGGCTGAAAGTGAGCATGAGTGAAACTTCCTTCAGTAACCTCTCCTTGTCAGTCACCGCAACTAAAGCTGTACATTAAAAGTGATAAATCAATTATCTTTGATAAAATCACAGGGGAACCTCTCTAGTTTAGACACCAATTGGACGGAGAAAAGCGAGGTTTCCGTATTTCATGGGTACCTAAATTGAATGCAGGATTTCTAATCTGAGAAAGAAGAATGTGTCCTCATTTTAGTAGTGTCCCTACAGATGGATTCCACTGTGTATTAGCTATACCTTTGCAAGTTTTTATGGCAACTAGCATGTTGCCCTTGTTTTCTCTGACGTATCCTCGGTATACCAGGCCTGACTCGCCTGTATTGTAATCAATATGTATGTAACAGCCACATTGATTATCTTGATTCTTACACCTTGACCGACAACTTTGCTTAGTTGTAGTTGACTCTTTTGGAAAAGCATTCCCTTTGTGCTGAGCTCTTCCTTTAGTGTCTGGACCGATGATCGGGATGACCCTGGTACTTCTTACAATAATCATAGCATTAATTATGACCAGCTGCTTCAGTGTGACAGCACACTAACCTGGAAGAGCACGTAACTCCAATGTGTTTGCCTTTCTGTGACTGTAATCAAATGACCTACAGTAATAAAAGTTGACTATATTAAAACAAGTGTTTGCCAAATCCAAAGAAAAGTGATGCATGTAGCTACGAACAAAATTTTTTATTCACAACCCAGGACTCTGTTACATTTTATGTTAATTGTGCTTTGAAAACAAACTGCAAGAGGTAATTGATATTCAAATGTTCAAAATTATGATTATTATTATTGTGACTTTACAGCACACAAAGAGACGAGATGCGAGAGGTAAGATGATAGCAATAGGATGGTAGTGCTGAGGGTCTGCTGGAGGTATACACCAGCAGCCTAACAGAACAAAAACATACATACTTAGAGATTAGTTCATAGGAGAGAGGTGTCAAAGTTGGGGGAGATCGGGATAGAGCTACACTTAGCACATGGACACAGGTAGTGGAACGAGCATGGATTATCTGGATTGAAGTTTGTAATGAAACGATTCCAAAAAAGTTCGTAGAGTTTAGACCTGATAGTGGATACGGAGTGATCTAAATTAAGAAGGGGGAGTGAGTTCCAGAGGCGGGGAAGACGGTTAAAGTAAAAGTGACGAATGGAGTTATTAGAAATAGGAATAGATTGTCTGAACTTGAAGTGCAAGGCAGATCGAGTTTGGCCAGAGCAGAATGTGACGAAACTAAGAATGTTAAAATGGGCTGATGGCTCTTTGAAGCCCTTTACGAAGAACAGAATATCACCAATTTCAAGGACCATCATTAGTGGCAGGAGATGAAGGTCGAGCAAACGGAGACGATAGTTAGAAACATAGTTGTTGAGAATAAATTTAGTGGCTCGTCTTTGGACATTCTCAAGAGCTTTAATATCTCTCAGTAGAAAATATTTTGATTGTTGCAGCCCTGCTAAAATAGGGGGTTTTTCCGAAGCCATAATTTGCTAATTCTCCCTCGTTTTGGCAACTACTGGTATACACTGTGCAGCAGGATATATTATAGGGAGAAAATTTTCACGGATCAGTAGCCAAAAGAGATTTTGCGAGACACGCTACTTCTATGCACAATTTCCTTGCTCATAAGCCACGAAATTCACAGGTGATCTCCTTTCTTTTCTCACTGCTTACTGGTATCTATCAATGTGTTATTGGGATTTGTATTTATTTCACTCACGAAATATTACTAGAGCGTTTTGATTTCCTTAGCTTCTGTCTCACCACACAGCCGCCTGCTAAACACAACAGTAGCAGAATAACTGCAGCACTGATGAATATGGCAGTCAGAACACCAGCATCAAACCGACAGAAAATCCCTTCACAGATACTGTCTTCTTCTGTGGAGATTGAAATACAAGTAGAGAATCAGCAAACAACACTTCATCTATATGTTGTAGACTCTGACATATAAAGTATGTAACTTGCTTAAACAAGACACCAGTAGGCCCAATCTACAATGCTAAACAGTAAAAAATGAGTGACACTCACTACATAAAATGTTTTCGTCCGACCAGTTTCCACTGGAAAGACAAGTTCGTGATGTGTCATTGTTGTGAAAGTAATAACCGTCTTTACACTCGTACGAAACAGTAGAATTGTACATTGTTGTGATGGACAGGTTTGATATTCTTCCATTCTCTAGTTCAGGAGGATTACCACAGTCCAGACCTGTATCAATAAGAACGGGTAACATATCTACAGGACAAAATTTAAGTATATACACATTTATACATTTTTTCTGATGATTTTACAAACTCAAAAATCTCTGTGGTAAAGAATTAGAGATGGTAAATTTCAAACTATAATTCTGAGCTCTATGTAATATGCCTACCACATTCTATGAAGACTGTAGCTTGAGATGTAGTCACATTGATGACAGGAATACCACTCTCGAGGGCTATGCTAGACAGGAAAGTCTTTTCGGTATTGTTCTCACACACAATATCATTGCTGATGGCAATGGTATATATATGGGTTTGGGTGACATCTCCCTCATTGAATTGTACAATGGCACCGCTCACTGCTGTATAGTCACCGTCACTGGCAGCTGTGCATAAATATATAGAACTCTCTTACAGGAATTGCAATTGACCATAGAAACATACTTGCAGTTCCATCAACAGTACTGACGGCAAGAGTGAAAGGTCGTGGTGCTCCAGTGGATGGATGACTGAAAACCTTGATTACAAGTTCAACTAATCTTTCATTTCTGCTTGTGTGGTATGTTACTTGGTCATAGCCAACACTAATTACTCCTAATACACAGAATCACAACGATTTACAGGTTTTAATTTATGCTTCCACTTACCACACTCCTCTCCCCTAGAGTCATCAGTGATGGTGACAGTAGATTGAGGCACAAGGATGTTGATACCTGAAGTGTCTCTCGTGGAAATAACAGAGATAAAATATTTGTCTGGGTTGGGTTCACAGGTTTTATTGTTGTTGGTTGTAATATTATAGGTCACTATTGTTTCCCTCTCTACTGAATTGTATGATTTGATCCATGACTGGAACATAGTCGCCACCAGCAATTGCTGTGTATATGGCAGATATAGCTAATTATACATGTCAACATTGGACTACATACATGCATTGCCATCTTTAGTGCTGACGGTCACATTAAAAGGTCGTGGAGCTCCATTGCTTGGATGACTGAACAGCCTAATTGTGAGGGTTACACTTCCATCACCCTCTCTACTGGTGTACATGTCCGTATCATAGCCAACAGTAATTAAACCTAAACGAAGATGCTTGTACAATCTCTTACCAATAAAGTATACAAAAAAACTCCTTACCACACTCGAACTCATCCCTATCATCGATAGTAATAAGGGCTCGAGGCACAGTCACATTGATACCAGGGATTCCACTAATTAAAGCCATAACTGACAAAAACTGTTCATTTGGATCGATTTCACATTCATCATCATCTTCAATGAGGATAGTGTGAGTCTGAATAACCTCTCCTCTCATAAAAACGATATGTTCAGTCATATTAACATAGTCAGCACCACTGCCTGCACAGTTATAAAGTGTGCGTTATTTGTTGTGAAGTAGCAGGAAACATACTTGCAGTGCTATCTTCAAGATCAAAAGAGAGAGTGAAAGATCGTGGAGCTCCACTGATTGGGTGGCTGAAGACTTTAATGGTGAGATTCAGTGTTCTATCACCCTCCCTCACTGTGTACACAGGTCGGTCATAGCCAACAACTATTGACTCTGGGGACATATTATTATTCGCACACGGTTTCTACAAAAACTTCCATTACAAAAAGGACACAGCTTACCACACTCAGGCTCATCATTATCATCAATGTTGACTCTTATTTGTTGTACAGTCACATTTATAGGTGGAATCCCACTGTCCAGGTCAATATGTGAGTAAAAGTATTCATTTAGACCAACTTCACAGGCATCATCGTCATTGATGGTGATAGTGTGAGTATGAATAACGTCTCCCCTCATGAACTGCACGATCTGACCACTTACATTTACGTAGTCACAACAGCCGACTGAAAACAAAGTGCAATGTGAAAAGATTGAAGTTGTAGGGTGAATAAAGCATACTTGCAGTGCCATCCATAGTTCTGACAGCAAGACTAAAAGGCCGTGGTGCTCCAGTGAACGGATGACTAGAGACTCTAATTGTGAAAGTTACACTTCCACTTTTCTCTGTTACAAAGTTTGTGTCAGTATTATAACCCACTTCAATTGGTCCTGTATTAGTTATATAGTAGACATGGCACTGCCATAAAACTTGTACTTACTGCACTCAGGTTCAGCAGTGTCGCTAATTACTATGCTTGTCCTGTTCCGTGTTATGACGATGGGCATTTCTCCACTATTGTATTCCACAGAAAAGAAAAAGTCCTCAATATGATCAGCCTCACACTCATCATCTGGGAGTATTCTAACAGTATGACAGGCACGACTCTTTCCTACTGTGAATATTAGTGGAGCATTCACTACTCCTCTATAGTCATAGCCTGAGTCTGAAGAGAACAAAATGTAATAAGGCTTCTTCTTTACTATTGCAGTGTAACTTACTTGCTACTCCATCCAAAGTAGTAACATTGACAGTAAATGGTCTTGGAGAGCCACTCTCATGGTTTATAACAACAACGCAGATTGTCACTTCTTCATGTTTCTCAGATGTATTGTAGGCTGACAGTTCATAGCCAACTTCAATTGGTACTAAAATGTTTCAGTAAATGGTACTGGTTAGGGCGTCTATTTACAGTGAAACCTCCGCAGAAGGGACAGTATGGGAACGGCCCTTTTGTCCCTCTAGGGAGGTTGTCCTCTTCTCACTAATATTGCTAAATATGAGGCATTGCTGCATTTCTAATCCACAAACTATAAGCAAAACATGCTCAAACAAAGTAGCTATACAGTTTCAGTAAGCCACGAACCAAGCAGCACAAGGACGATAGGATACAGTAACACATACATAGACCACATGGAGGAGGTCAAAGGACAAGCCAACAATATCTCCGCTCTCCGCGCTACGCGCGACGTCCGATGTAGCCAATGGGCAGTAAGTTGTTACTGCCGGAGACCTATCTGTTGTAGACTTCATGGTGGTTAACTGAAGGTTAACCGAGGACGCACCGGCTCGGAACGCACGGGCATGCGCGGTCGTGGGATCTGGGAGCATGCGCTGTAGCGACTGGGTCCACGTGGTTGGCAGTTGCTGCTATTGCTGCTGCCAGACAGTCGCCAGCTGTATTGCTCTGGCTCGTTCGCGATTTTTCTTTCTTTTGTTATTTCTGACCTCTCCATCCCATTATGGGGTGTGATCAGGACTGGGGTTGGACAGGGGTGGAGTCTAATTAAGTGGTCGCTCCACCTCCTAAGGGGAAGTTCCCAACCACGCCCACTGCCAAACGGAAACCCAGTCCTTTGGCCAACATCCCCAATGGGTTACATCCACCCATGCCAAGGGATGGAGGAAGGTGGATCGGTAGGGTGGGACTGGGTTGCATACTCAACAGGAGGTGAGTTAACAGTCCTATGTAAGGGTGTAAGCTTACCAATCGCATCGTAATCCCACAGTAATAGCTAGCCCACCCCATCAATTAGCGGTACCACGCATACGCAGTTTGCCGAAGGTTTGCACTTTAGTGCTTTTCATTTTAAAGGGAATGTGGCAGTTTAAGGGCTAAATTTAGTATTTTTTGTTCCATCCTTAGAAATATTTCTAAATTTAGCCCTTATATTACTGCCAAATTCCCTTTGAGTCCTAACCAACATGAACTGACATGAAACTACGGACAGCACGAGTGTGCAAATGCAAAAAAAACTTACTACATTCTGCTTCTTCTGAGTCATCAATTATGATCATCGCTTGAGGCTGAGTGAAATGTATGAAATGTCCCATGCCTTCACCAAGTGAAATACTGGAGAAGAATGTTTCAGTCGAGTTCTCACAGAGTGTGTCATCATTAATAATGATTGTGTGGGTCTGAAACATTTCTCCCACATTGAATTGTAAGATTTCATCGCTCAGAGCACCATAGTCTCCTTCAGAAGAACCTGAACGTGCATTCATACATGAATGTATACAAAGTAGTAACGAACTTGCAGTGCCATTATGAGTGTTGACTGTGATTGTTAAAGGTTGTGGAGCTCCTCCTGGTGGGTGGAGAAAATGAATCTTTAGCTCAACAATTCCACGACTTTCACTCGTTGTGTAAAGAGTGGAGTTGTAGCCAAGTGTGATGTTCACTGCAGTTTACCACTGTCTTTGAACGATATCTAAACAACTGTAAATGATAAACTCACCATCCCCACCATGAATATGTACCTGTCCGTGCACTGGACCTATTTCGATTCCAGAGTGAACATTCGAAGTCCTTGTCAGGTTAAAGGTGAAGAACTCATCGGTTTCATCCAAACCATCATCTGCTATGCTAACATTCACACACTTTCTAGTTTCACAGGAATTAAAACTGAGTAACACATCAAGTGCTCCATAGTCCGTAGTTTGTACTGTGAAACAATGAGTATTTTTCAATTAAAACTGTGTAAGCACTGAGTAACTATTGGGTGCCACCTGCAGTCTGATATGCTTGACTGTACTGAGAGTTTTACCTGCAGTTCCATCTTCAGTTGACAGTCCAACATCAAACGGAAATTCCACTGGGCAATTAATGGATGGGAATGTGATTATTGCACATACTTCAACCACACCCACACTCTCTATTACATTGAAAAATGTTTGCTCCAGACCCACCCTGGCTTCTGTATGGGGAAAAGACACATTTTTATCAGATAGCCACCTGCTTGCCAAAACATGGAATGCAATTATACTGCAACATTATTACCATCATTATCAACTATAGATATCTTTCCATTTGCTGGGTTCAATTCAATTCTGGCATTCAAATTGACAGTTCTTGTCAGGGAATAGCTGAAAAACTCCTCCACCTCGCTGACATTGTCATTTGTTATGGTGATATTGACACAGCTTCTAGTGTCACAGACATCAAATGACAGCAATGCATTAACTGCCACAAAATCAATGGTGTCAACTGGGGAGAAAAATAGAAGCGTCAGAAGGAGACAACCACCACTAAAATATATATAATGGCAACTGCCTACCTGCACTCCCAGATGTAGTCCCAAACATAACTTCAAAATTGTACCCAACAGGACATGTTATTTCAGGGAAGAAAATAACAGCACATATTTCAACTGCACCACCATCTTCTGATATTCTGATAAATGTAGCTTCTAGGGCAACTACTGCTCCTGAATAAAGTATACAGGGGTTAATTAGTTAGGAATGAGGATTTTCAGTGAATGACATACTGTCATTATCCAGAATTTGGATTGCGGCATCACCCCTCATTGGCTCCACTAGTGTTTTCACTGTGGTGAGTGCACCATCCCCAACTTCCAGTGTAAGTCCAACATATTCATCCCACTCTAACCTAAGGTCGTCATAAATTGTCTGATTGAAACAGATGATCCTTGTTAATTGACTAATCAGAATGTATTTGACCAAGACAGTTCGCTGGGCATAGTCAGAACCTTCGATCGTGCCATACTGACTGAGAAAGTCAGGAGGATCAGGGACTGGGAAACATAACCAGTTGTTTACAAAAGGTCATTGTAGTATTCCTGACTTACTGGCTAGCGGAGCACCAGTTGGGATGTAGACTGAGCTGGAGTTATCAATGACAAACACTTGAACAGTCTCATCAAGAATGTCAATTTGAGGTCGAGAGAGATTGACACAAACACTCACTGTACCCACACTCTCATCAACTGTGTATGTTGTCTCCACTAATGCCACTATAAATGGCTCTGTATCAAACCGTTATATTCAAGTAGCTATGTATAAAGTGTAATCACTCACCATCATCATCTTCTATACATACAGTGTGTTCACAGAAATAACTTTCTGCGCCTGAATTATCTTCATTGCATGTAAACAGCTCACGACGATCACGAACATCAACAGGGAATATACGTAGAGTGAAACATTCTTCCTGCTCAGTATTAAAATCGTCTCTAATGAATGCTACCAGTGGTGGTATAGTAGACACCCTATATTGCAAGATATATATGCTACGAATGATACCATCAGTGGGATCTCTGCTGCCAAATGTTGCATCAAAGTCTGGATTCTCCTGTGATGTCAGTGGCTCCACTATGGCAGTACACATGAAATCTTGCACACGGAACACCATTGGATGTTCTCTTTGAGCGGTTCTCACAGTGGCTACATGAATAGGAAGCTGAAGCAGGTCAACACCTTGGGCATAAGTTTCTGAAACATTTTGAGCTCTCTCGGTAAATCCAATGATCATTGCTATGAAAGAAAGAAGTTAACATTAATGATCTGTGGCTGACTCTGTCCTCAACAATTGTGATCACTCATTTTCGTGGGGATGAGCAGGCCACCCAGGTTTAGGCTATTAAAAGCTCTAACACAACGCAGAACCTCGTGTGGCAAATGACTCCTATATACAAGTGTGAGTGAGCTTATGTATTGTTGGAGTCACTAAGTAATTTGGAAACGTACCCTCAGCAAACTGCGCATGCACGATACTGCTAATTGATGGGCTGGGCTATTTGTACTCGTGGTCTCCCACTAGTAGCTCGGCGGAGAGTCTGACACGGGCTAGCTACAGTAGTAGATAGCATGTGGGAATCGATACATGTACCATTCGTTGTGACTTCCTGAGCCCCCAAGGTACACAGAGCGAGCGGATCAAGCCCAGTGCGATTACGCACATTGACTTTTTCGCTTGTTTTCACGGCATATCTCTCGAACGTAGTCGTTTCAGGAAAAGCGCCCTTTTGTTTTTCAGGCTCGCGTAGTTCTGAAGCCGCTGGTATCGCTAATAGGCCGCCTCGTAGCCTGTAGTGCCACAATAAGCGTCGACACACACAGACACACAGATAAACCAACTACTGTAACCGTCGCTGCGCATGCACGCCGAGGGTTAATTATACCTTACATCCTTGTTTCTTTTGAGTGACCCATGGGATATTTTTTGCCCCAAAAGCAGGTAGCCTCAAGAAATGGAAAAGAAATTGTGCCCAAATCTATAGCAACTTCATTGTGTGTCAGTGAAATAGGTTGAAAGAATCAACTGCAGTAGTAACTTATATCCTGCCACACACCCTTTTAAAGTTTAACATACGATCATTGTCAGACACTCTAATCTCAGTAGCTCCTCGTCGTCCCAAACATCCAGTTGATCCAACTGGAATCTGGAAACAGCCGATATGCTCAGGTACATCTATCTCAGCAACTACTGCAAAACTCTCTTCATATTCATCAAAATTGTCATCTTCAATCACGGAGAACATAGGTATCTCTATTGATTGACTGCTCGCTGGAACTTCAATTACGATTAAATGAGCACTGAAATCGTCTTCAGAAAGAAGAAAAGGGAAAAGAAACAGTATTGTCGAAAATTGAGTCAAATATCTTATACTCAACTGACAGCTAAAATCTGACTGAAAAGCTTTATAACATCAATATTGCATTGTCTGGTTGACTTTGGGAGCGTCAGCGTGCTCGCATAAACCATGGTCCATATAGTTGAAGGAACAGGGGGTCATTATACAGCTAAGGCACACAATGCTACACAACACCATCCCTCTATCTTTGTCTAATCATATTTGCCTATGAACAACTATTATAGACAAGGTGTCATGTAGCTATGTGTGTCTTAACTGTGTAATGACCTCTTGTTAACCCTTGGCGTGCATGCGCTGCGAGGGTTACAGTACTTGGTTCGTCAAGTGTGTCTGTCTGTCTGTCTGTCTGTCTGTGTTTGCCTGTTACCACGTTTTCTGCCACCATGCAATATAATAGTAATATATTGGGCGAGGAAAGAGAGAGAACAAGGATGATAGTTTCTACAATCTTAAGAGTCAAGCTTAGGTCCTTAATAGGAATATTTGGTGCATGCACGAACAATATGGGAATGACCTCGAGGCTAAGCAACAGGCATGCCTAAGTTTACAGAGAGGCAATAGTTTTGGTAAGCTATTATAGCTTGTGTAGACACGTGCAATCGGCGTGTTATTCAGGTTGATTTGGGATATAATAATTATTATGTGATATTTGTGGTAAAGTACCTGCTGTAGCTCTAGATCCCTGCGCAATGGTTGCAGAATTAATGAAAAATCCCAAACCCATAGACTCAGCTGTGTCCACAGTGACAGGACTAAGAGTTATATTAAATGGGTTTTGATTTGTCCTGAACTGAAGTGCAATTGGTGTACTCAGCATTGTCGAACCCTCAACAATAGAATAGTCAGATTCTAAGAAATTAATCTCCAACACTACAAACAGACAATGTGCCAGGTAAAACAGCACCCAACCATGGGAGGATCACTTACAATCATTATCAACGATATTGACTGTTGCAGTGTCTCTCATATACTCTCCATTAGCCTCTAAACCAAGAATAAGAGCAGGATTATCAGGAGTGAACCTCAGTAGCACTCTGTCATCATACTCCAGAGTGATATCATCATTGGCAGTGAACAGACGAATCTCTGCACTGTTTGTTACTCTGATTGGTTCCAGCCTTTCAAAGTCTGCAGTGCCTGCAGATATTAAACATGTGCAGGTAAAGCTAACTGCTACTCATGAAGCTTACTTGCAGTGCCATCTGGAGTAGCTGTAATGAGACCAGTGACAACAAGAGCACCACCAAACTGTGTTGTTGCCTTCACATTGAGTTGAAACATTGTGTCCAGTCTCCTGCCCTCTTCCACATCGTACTTACTCTGGTGGAACCCATGTACTGTATGTTGCCAAGCCCTCGTGATGCCATGGCCAGGACTTAATCTAGAGCTACGACTGACATACCTACACAGAGAATGCAGGTGGTGCCATCATTGAAAGAAAGCCCATCATCTGTTCCCACACAACAGGCTCGTTGATCTGCTGCCACTACCACTCCTCCAGTACAGTTTGTGTTAGTGAAACACTGAGAAAAGCCTTGTCCTGTCTGTAGAAGGAACAGAAACAAGTAGAGGACTGTTTCCATTTTCCACACACACAACTAAGGCTCAAGAGCACTCACTATACACTGCCGGAAGTGTGGGTGGACAACCTTATCAAAGTTTTGAGGTTACTCTAAATTGAGTGTGGTTTTTACAACCTGAGCCCCTAATAACTTTACTACATTTTTTGTTACTGTATATTGTCTGTAGCTAGTCATGTTCCTTTCCAACACTATTGTGTCATGTATCCAGCTAACATTTATTTGGTGTCTCTCCCTGATTGTCTTTAGATAATCCGTGACAGCTAGAAACACAGTGGAAAAGACTTTGTCCTTTTATAATGTATTTTTAAAAACAATGATATATTTTGTGGGGAAACGTCCCAAGAAAACAAACGCTAACTAGCATTCTGTTGCAAGGGGAATTGTTGGGGTCTACTCAATTAAAGAAATAAGACACATGCACTCAAGAATTTGCCCTTAGTCTATAACAGTCGTGAGTGCTTAGTGTTCATTTATTTACCTTTTCAAGTAGAAAAATATTTAGTCAAGGTATGTTAATGGAAACTCAAGTCAACAATATTTGAGAACACCAATGAACATGTTCTACTACAGCTATACATTGAACTCAGAGTTGAGCCCCGCGTTCCAGGTAAGCCATGTGTATGACTCACATTTGAGACCGAGGTTCCAGGTAAGCCACGTGTATGCCTCACATTTGAGACCAAGGTTGCAGATAAGCCACGTGTTGGAAATTAGACTGACTTCTTTTTTTTTTACAGATTACACAATCAATTTCTGCTGCTACTACTTCTGAGGTGTTTTTCTTCTACGTGTGTGTATGAGATCAGTGCATGCTTATTCTACTAGAGATACGGTTCCCGTTGCTGTAGCGGAGGAAGCTCCAGCCTCAACTTCTGTTTTCTCTCCTGCTCCTGAAGAGAACCTGAGGGAGGAGGAGGGAGAATATGTTGTTAATTGCGACACAATTTCAAGTCAGTATGGTTGTAACATGCTTTGTGCAATGCTATGGAGATGAAGAACCCCAGATCGGGAAGGTAGTAGCCTTAGAGAAAGAGACGGAGAGTGTAGTGATTGAATGGATGACAGGAACATACTCATAACCTTGGGTATTGTACAGATATAAATAAATTTGTGCTATACCTGCGGGCTAAAAGGCATGAGTATACAAGAAGAATTTGCGTCTCAGCGTAGTGGAAAACGTGCACTCAGAGCAGTGTATAATAGAGAGCACAGATCCTGGGAGGAATGATATGCACAATCATAGGGGTTGCAAAAGACTAAGTTTGTCAATAAGACGGTGCAACGGCGGAAAGCATGTGAGCTACTGAGCTGTGTAGTGAGTGCAAAGACAAACCTAGATGCATACAATGGGTAGCTGACGTGTGGACTCAAGAGCGACTGGCACTGCGGAAGAGGATGAGTAGAAACGAGATGGGAAGAGAAAACTGAGGCACAGAAGGAGAGACACAAATGAAAGTGGGTACAACAGTGCAAAGATGGGACGAGAGACACTGATAGGAGAGACCCTCGACGGACGAGTGAATGCAAGAGCAAATCGGGTGAGGAGCGAACAGGTGTGATAGAGAAAATACGAGTGGATACGTAATGCACCAGCTAGAACTTGCGTCGTTGGGACTCAGCCACGCAACGTGCTGAGCTACATAAGAGCGACGCACACTCACTACGTGGTGTAAGCTGAAGACGAGAGCAACCAAAAAGTTGGGCACATACCAACAGCGTAACGGAGGCTAGAGACACCAAATACAGCTGGACTCAACAGAAGAATGCGGTACGTGAGAGAACGTGGACCAACGTGGTGTAAGGACGTGAAGAGTGGGACGGAAGAGAAGAAGTAAGGCGAATATAGACATGTGAACGGTCGGAAGAGCACTTGTAGCACTCAAGTAGCGAGGATCCAAACGTGTACGAAGAAGTCTAGTAAGCGCAGAACTTCTGGCGACGCTATAGACGAGTGGTAAGAGAACTGGAGCGTACAAGAACAGTGCGGGTACTACGCAGGCGGAGAGTAACAGTGAGCGTACAACAGTGTGTACCATAAGGAATCACCAGTGTCGGAAAGAGAACTTGGACCCAGCAGTGGGTACAGAAGAGAACTTGACTCAACAGTGGTACAGAAGAAGAACGTTGGGACTCAACTGTGGTGTACATAAGGACGCAATAGTGGGTACAGAAGAAATTGGACGGCTCAGTTTGTAGTTACACAAGTGGAAAAACCATTCTTCTACACAATGACGATGTAGGGATGGTGTGTAAAAACGTATGAAAAAGGATACCAACAGAAAGAATGCTTCGGCTGAAAACAAAAATCATACAATCCATCCCTACATCTTTCTTTCTTCAGCTCTGTGCGAAGACGTGTAGGCACTCAGTTTTGTGTGAGGTATACTATTCAATAAACAATCACAGTTGAGTGGTCCCATCCGCTCTCTGTGACTTCACCTCTGAACCCTGTCTCATAGGTGGAGGTTAAGGCTGGAGCTACGATAGTGCATACAATTACATGAAATATGAGATAATAAGGTATTATTGTTTTATAATGTGTCTGAAGGCGTGTTAAGGAGAACAACAAGTGGTAGGATAAGGGGTGGGGTCTAGATATCGACTGTTATGATAAATGTATGGATGCAGTAGTATTGGTGTTCTAGAATATCTGAACTCTGTTGTTACCATAGTCACACACATGTATATAAACATCAGCAGGAGAGGTGATACAGAATGGACCACGGAACTCTCCTTCTTTCTGACCATACCTTCCAAATGAGGTGAAAAACTGACCTGAGGTCTCATACACTACAATACAATGACCACTGTGATCACACACATACACATACTTGTCAGTAATATGAAGACCTGATGGCTCACGCTGTTTTCTCTCTCCTTCCTGACCAAATACTCGTATGAATTGGCCACTGGTGTCCATTACTTGCATTCTTCCATTAAAATACTCAGCTACATACATGTTCCCGGCAGTGTCAAATTTGACATCAAGTGGTGCATTGAATTCACCTCTTCCTTTGCCACATGAGCCAATTGATCGGACAAAGTTCAAGTCGGGGTCAAACACCTGAATGCGATGGTTATCATGATCACACACATACACTTGATTTGTCATACACTGTTACTCCACGTGGATCATCAAACTCCCCCTCCTTACTGCCCCTCTGACCAATACATTTGATCAGTTGACCACGGCTAGTGAACTTCTGCAGCTTGTGACAACTGCTCACATAAATATTGTCAATATCATCAGTTGCTATGCCTGCAGGTTGTATCATCTGATCTGGACTGTCATCATGTGATCCAAATGTTCGGATTTTCTGCCCTCTGATGTCAAAGATAGACACTCTATGACCTCCACATTCACTGACAATCATCTCCTGGTGACTGTTGAAGGCAATGCCATATGGTTTGTTCAATCCAGTCAGAGTCCTCACTGGGCGGCCTAGTTGACTGGGGTCAGGGTACACGGTCACAGTGAAGGGGCTGCCATTGATTTCTCTGTCATTGACTTGAACATGGAGTTTGTGTTGGCCTCGACTGACTGGTGTGTACGACACCTCGTATTGCGAGGGAGGTTTTCTAGACCACGGCCATCTACTAGTGGGCATCGTTTCTTCGGTGACAATTACTACAGCTGGGGGTGTGGCATCAGGTGCATTTGTGGGTGTGGCTTTCTGAAACGAGCTCAAGTTGTGCGGTGACATTCAGTGGAAGTGAGTATGGTCTACCACTAGAGTCAGTTAGTTTGACTAGGACGTGTGTTGGTTGGTTGACTGTGGCTGATGTTAGACCAGGTCCACTGACCTGACATGTGTAAGAGTGCTGGGACAGACAGAGAGAGTGAAGAGCGAATAACAAGTGAAACCTTGTGTTTGGCAAACTATGTATTAGTCAACAGCATGTTAGCTACCTGATTTGTAGTCCAACTAGCAAATCACAACGCTTAATTTCTGCTGCATCATCTTACTAATGTACTAATTGATTGTTGTGTAAACTTTGGAAGCCAGACAATTTGCATTAGGCCTATATAGCGCCATATGTTGTGATAAGGACTTCCTGTCCAATACCCATATCTCTGTTAATGTGCTGTTTTTAATGTAGGTATGAAGGCCTTTAGGAGTCCCCCCCCTCTCTCTCTGTCTCGTTTCTTTCTTCATGTAAAAGCGTGAGCTGTTTAGTTTTCATATAATAACTTGGTTTTCGGTACTGAGTCTTGGTGATTATATTACCCCGGTAGGCCGATTCATACCAAATGAGAGTTTAACATGCATTAGCATGTTTAACTGCCACGTTTGAGCCTGAACCTCTTTCCTATTTGATGGAGGAGATGGAGTCGACTAGTAGGGGGCAGCCACCGGCCTGGCATACCACCATGATCCCGGGTGCCTAAAGGCGGGCTCGTGTGATGAAGAGGTGTGTGACTGTAGTTATAACGGAATGTTCTCAAAGCCTGGTCCTACAGGAAGGGGCATTCCAGGTGCAGAGCCTGGTTGGCCTCGTCCATGGAAGAGCCTTGGGGGTAATCCTTGTGTTCAAACACTACATGTACACGGCATACACAGTTCAAATTCGGTGCAGCTTTAGTAGCAAACGAGTGTTACTTTCTAGCTGGTAGGCCAAGTGAGAGTCCCAGGGAAGACGTTGACAGGGACAGTGGTAAAGGGACAAACAAATAAACGTATGCCATTGCGTGCAATTTAGAGACCAGAAACTTCAAAAGATTTAGAGGTCCACGCATCAACAAAATTTACATCATTATACCAAGCTCGCTAAGTAAGAAATACAGTAGTGTTGCTGCCACAAATGTATGCTATTTTGGTTACTTTTGAGTCCAGAGAGACTGTTGACAAAGGAGGGTAATTTGCAACAATTTTTCACTCACATTCCTATACATACGCTTAAACATTCAGGTGCGTGAAATTAGAGCTATACTGATATATATAGTCAGAGAATCGAGGGTATACCATTCATGACTGACCTTTTCCCCCAGTTTCCGCTGAAGCAGAGCTATCTCCCTGTCCTTGGCCTGCACGAACTCAGTCTGCTGCAGTCAGGAGGACCTCTAGTCACAACACACACTCTACACACTAGACTAACTCTCTGTCTCATCTCCTGAATCTGCTGCTGCTCTCTCCTGATAGTCTCCTCTGCCCTCGTCACCTCTGCATCCTTTCTCGCCAGCTCTGCTTCCTTTCCTGTTAGCTCTGCTTTATTTCTCGTCAGCTCTGCTTCCTAAAGTCATGTAACAATGGAGTCATGGTAGCTGCAGTTGAACAATAGCTGAAACCTTTCTTGTCAACAGCTGTTGGACTCTCTGTTTCTCCCTTTCACTTGTTTGTAGCTGATCTTCCTGGTCAAAATGACAGACCATGACATCCCTCCACATCAAGAAAAACTCCATACCAACCTTCTGTCTCAAATGCCGCTGAACCTCATTTAGGTCAGCCTCGACAGACTGCTTCTCCCTTTCCTAGAAACGTAGGATACTGTAACTCCACGTTGTTTCTGCGTATAATACTCCCACCTTCTCTCGCAATTGCTGAAGTGTTTCAGCTAGCTCCCTGTACTTGTCTGTTACCAGGTCTCGGAGAAACACGCTCCAAATTCT